AGGAAAAACTAATAGAATGAAACAATATACATGCTTGGAAAAAAAAATTACAATTTTGGATGGAAAAGGAAAGAGAAAGAGTGAAGACACTGGAAAAAAAAAAGTGAAGAGAGGGAGACAAGAAAATGAGGAGATTAGTCTGAAGATAAGGAAAGAGGATGATGGATTAGGAGGTGGAAAAGAGGAAGACAAGAAACTTTTAGGAATTAGGGATTTTGTTATTCTATTAATGTGTTTTTTACCAATAAAATTACCAATGTATAGGTAAATATTTATTAGTTTTTAAAGACTGTTTGTAATTTTATCAATAATTAAAACTGAAATTTTTTTAGAACCCCTAAAATTTTCTAGAACTCCACTAAATCTTTCTAACAAAATTTCATTTTGTTAGTAATTCTATTTGTAATTATCAGTGGCAAGTAGTTATAACTTTTTTCCAATTCTCTAGAATACTTTAAGGGACTTAGCTTATCAATAATTTAATTTGTAATTCTTAGCAAAGTCTTATAATATTTTTTCAACTTTTTAAGGGATTTAGTTTGTCAATAATCCTATTTTTAATTTTCAATGGAAAAGTCCTATAATTCTTTTTCAACTCTTTAAAAAAAATTTAGGGACTTAAACTATTGGTAATTCTGTAGGTATTTTATATTCTATATGTATTTTCATTAGTATAAAACAATAACTTTTTTCTTAATGTTTTTGTATTCCATATCTATAAAACTTGTGAATACAATAAAATCACAACACGGTAAAACCAATTATGTTCAATAACATAATAAGAAAATCACAACAATAAACATTCCAAATGTGTTAATAATAGTTTATTGTAAAGCAACAACATATGTAAAAATTACACTAAAGTTAATTTCATTACACATTAATATTTTACAAATAAAATTAGTTTGAAATACTTTTAACCCAAATTATCTTCTTTTTTTTTAATTTCATCATCTTCATCATGTCTATCATAATCTTCTTCAATGAATTAAAGCTCGTTGATCTTATCATCTTCATTGACTTTTATATTCCATTGGTTCTTAATATATCATTTAACTCCTTAGCATCAACATTAATAGAAATATCATCAGCTACATGAAAATTAGATTTTCTTCTAAATCGGTAGACAAAACAATTTAATATGGATCAACTAACTCATCAAGTTGAAAGACATAATCTCTCACGGTTACTTTATCGTTACCATCTCGAACAACTTGTATACAACTTTAAGTTCGTTTTTCGCAACGAATAACCAATCAACCTTAGAACAATCCTTTCAAAAGGAAGGAGTGTATATGTAATAAATTTTTTGGCATTGCTTGATTAAAATAAAGACATCATTGCATTAAGAAGTCTAACCTTTGTATTAATTTCTACCAAACTATGATGGAGATTTACTCTAATTCTTCTATTAATGGTATCATATCAATATCATTTGAATAAAAAGACTTTATTATGCTTACTATGATATTGTGATTCAATCATCTCTTCTAACTTTTCATAATAAACAACTTCAAACTCAATAAAAATTGATCTTTTAACATGAAATTTATTATTATAGGTTTTTTTACCCTAATCACACTCTTTAGTATAAAAGACATATTCATTAATGAAATACATGTTATAGCAGACCCAAAAATGGTAAATTCAAACTATCACTGACATTCCTTTCTATTTAATAAACTTGTTACAAGATTACAACTATTAACAGTTAAAGAGAAATGTGTAATAAAATTAAGTATTATAAGAGTTAAGAATTATTAAATACTGTCTACATGTGTTTTGAACCACATGGTAAATTATTCATCTTGTAATTGAAAAATTTGAGATTCAGTCAAATATGAACTTTGAGAAAGTAAAAATTAACAATATTGCCTCGATGAATTATTCAATCTATTAGTTTATCAACATTTAAGAGAAGTTATTTAAAAATAACAACATGTTAATATTGTACTAATTAAATAAAAAGTCTCAATTCATCGCAGTTAAATAACATATAATTATAAGCATGTCTGAATTTGATTTTTGTCGAGTGTCTTCTTATTATTGCAATTTTTGATATAGGTCATCCAGGATGGAAAAATATTGACAAATTCTCACTCATAGACACTTTTCTAACATTATTATATCTTGAAACATAGTTGATTCTTGTTCTCAAATGAGGCCTAAAATGCTATTAGATAAATATTAAGATTTCTTCAACAATATAAGCCTCGCATATCAAAGTCTCAAAATGTACCTAGTTTTTAAATTTTTTCTTAAGGTTAAACAAGTATTTGTCTGGAATTAAATAAATATTTTAAATTAAATAAAAAAACAAAAAATTAATTAGGATGCATGTGTAATCCCTAACCTCTCAGATGGATACATCTATCTATATTGGATAAGGCCTCCAAAAGTTTCCTTAAACGATAAATATATGGATAGATACTTTATTGAGTTGAAGAAGAATAGAGAGAATATCATCTTAAGTTTGCAGATTGTATGTATGATATTCATTCTAAGCTTCTCTATATGTTAAGTATGTAACTTGTTATAGCATATATATCTAAAAAAGTGATTGATCTCCGTGAGTGCATCTCATATCCTTTTTGATAATAAATCCTAGTAAGCAAATGGAATGAGTATTTTCATAAACATGTGGTAGTCATGACTCTTCATTTCAGACAACCTGTCATCCTTTAAATTCATCATTCTAGATATGTTTAAAGCATATCCATCAGGAAAATATAAATTTTTAAATCATTTGTATACTAGTAATTGTGCATTCTTGTATAAGACAAAGTTGATTTTGGGCTTTGTGACCCATATCCCATCATAAATCAACTTTATATTCTTACTATGATAAAACAAAGGTACATCCATTCTAGCTTTTATATTATCATTTGTCTTCCCCTTCATGTTTCTAAAAAAAAATTTCAAACATTTTTTTTTAATGTGCATAAAATTTAGATTATAGTGGAGAAAATTAGTCTTTTAATAAAGAATCTCTTAAAAAAATACTTTGTTTTACCCAATTTTGAATCACACTAAAACCAAAGGACTTTTTTTTATTGGAATAAAAACCAAACAAAATGCCCTCATATTGTGAGACCACACCATACAAGTCTTCACCCAACACACTAACGATGCAACGTTTTTTTTTTAACTCTACCTATAAAGAAATCATTTCTATTCTTTCTATAAAAGTGATCGATTTACAAGAACATACAGTGACAATCAAAAAAGAAAAGAACAATTGCTTTTTTTTTTTCATAATGTAATCTCAACAACTTTCATTAATAATCAATCTTAATAGAGTATTGACTAGGAATATTTAGAAATAATATTTTGATGCAATAGAAATCTCATAATTATAATAATTTTATAATTTCTCTTACAAAATATTTTTATCTTAAGGACTTTATATTTACTCTAGATTCACTAATCAAATATTTAATGAATATTAAAGATAATAAGATAAATGAAGTCTTTATTAAAATTAAATATATTTACATAAATAAAGTCCATATCATGTGTAATTAATAGATTAGTTACAAGATTATAACATAGAAAATCAACCAAACCACTAAATTTGGCCATCATTTATGATGATGTCATGAACAAATTTCATATAAAAATTAAATTTTTCAAAGGTTGTGATCATGGACCAGGATGTGTAGGCTTGAATTGAACTTTTATTTTTGAGCTTGATTATTCCTGAAAAATAAATCTTTCGTAGAATGAGGAATTTTTTGATACTTAAATCAATAAATATATAAGAGAAAATAAGAAAAATATAAGAATAAATTTTGGATCTAAAAACTTATAAACCTTTCATTTATTTAATAACTCTAAGTATTTATAGACTTTGTTTATATCAATTTATCTTATAAAGTTGTATGAAAATTGATTGGTAAAAATGGTTGGTGTCTCCCATTTATTGTAGTGTTTAATATTATTATTAATGAAATGGTTGGTGAATATTAATAAAATATTAATTAAAAATAATTAATAGTAGAGAAAGGAGACTCTTGATTTGAATAGAACTCTATGCTCTGCAATTATTGGCTATGAATGGGTGCCAACCCTGTATGTAAGTATGTGATTGCTGAGAATCTGTCAATAAAACATTTAAATTTTTTTGAGTAAGGGCGGTGCACATCAACTTCTTAGAACTCAAAAACATAACTAGGTGTGACCTGTATGAGTTCGATAGCCCACTACAATGGTAAGAATGTTGTTGTTTGTACCATGACCCATACAACAACAAAGCAAAAGCTGTGTTATCGTTCGTTCAAAAACCGAAATGACCATAATTTTTTATATATATATATAAAAGAACCACCAACTTATTAGTGAGATTTACACTGGAAAGTCTTGTTAAGTTTCTCCATGTAAGGATTTATAAACGTATTAATTGATATTAATTCAAACCCAAGAAACCCATTTAGTTACTAAATTAGAGATCTGTCATCATAAATAATTTTTTTTTTTCTGTTTTAACATCTTATACAAATAACTATGACTTATCATTTCCAGCTGTATGTGACAATACAGTCATATGACCAACGCAACGCAAAAAAAAAAAAAAAAAAAACATGTTAAAACATCTAATGCCTTTCACTAGCTAGAATAGATACGTCCCTTTTCACCTTATCTCCTGCTTGGTCGTAGATAGCTTCAACATGTAGCATACAAATGGTTCTTATACATATGAAATGCAAACCATCGTGCCAGCATGTGAAATCTAGTGCTTAGAATATGACGATAACCCTACAAATTGGTATTTTGTTTCAAACTTTACAGTGACAAACATGCACATCTAGAAAGATGTAAGAAGGGCAGTGATGACAGGGAGTAAGGGATAGAGGGAAAGGGAAGCGATGAGGGGAGTAACAGGGAAAGAGAAAAATGAGAGGCCTCAAATTATTTGCCTTGTGTTCTTATGTGCTTGTGTACAAGAAAGAGCTTGGCTTACCTTATCCTATCCGCCTCTCAAACACACTTCGCCGTCTCTCTCTCTCTCTCTCTCTCTTTCAATATCCTCTTCCAAAAGCAGTCTCTCTCTCTTTCTCTCTTTCCCTCATATTCTCCTTAACTCTTGTCTCCAAGTTTTCTTTCACTTACCACTATATATTATTATGCTCAACAACAATATCACTACACAAACTTCAATTCACGAACTCCCTCCCTTTTATCCACTCTGTCCTCGCCCTTTTCCTCGCCATGTAAAGGCTGTTTCTTCCTTGTACAGTTAATTGGTTACGCATACTACTCGTTATACGAGTCTTTTCTCTCTTTATCCCTCTATTAATTAATTCGAAAAAAAAAAAAACACTTCAAATGACCTAAAAATATTTTCATTTTGATATCAAAGATTCTTGCACTGTTGCATTATTATTTTGTTTTCTTGGTGCTTCCTGTGTCTTTGTTCCGCATATACATATTTGTTTCTTGCTTGGTTTTGTTTATAGCAATCCCACGAAAGATTCTGTTAGCTTATTCTACATGCAGAGAAAATTAGTCGATAAATTCAATTTGGGATATAGTTTTTATCGTCAATTGAAGGACTAGTTCTTGTAAACCAATATTCGCAACAGAGTTCTTATCTTTTATCTACTCACAACAATGGCTCCCAGAACTGGAAAGGCCAAGCCACATAAAGCTAAAGGAGAGAAGAAGAAGAAGGAAGAAAAAGGTCATTTAATTTCTCTCATATTCATTGCATCCATCATTATATTATTTAATTTCTTCTCCTTTTCTATAGTTTCCTTTATATATATATAATATTACATATTCTTGTTGTTTTTATTCTTAAAAGTTAAAACACAACTATTGTTTGGTTGTCTTTATCTGATTGAGTTTATTCATTGCATTATTAGACCATACAGAAGATCGAAATGTACGGTTCAAAAATTTTCTCTTCCATTAATTTTCTCACCATCCCTGCACCCAATTGGACCCTTCAGTTTGTTTAGATAAAAAGTACGTACACATACTTTTCTGGGGGAAAAAACTATACATACAGCTATAATAAGGGCCTCTGTGTGTGTGTGTTTTCTGGGGGAAAAAACTATACATACAGATATAATAAGGGCCTCTGTGCGTGTGTGTGTTCATATGATATATATGAAAGCAAGTAGTGAATTGGTGTAATTTTTTTAAAAAGTTTTGCAAGAATGCTGAATATGGGTCTTGTTGATTTTGTATGAAATGTATAGTTTTGCCTACAGTCATTGAAGCCACCGTTGAAACGCCAGACGACTCTCAAGTGACTCTCAAGGTAATGTAATAAGTTAGTGTTTAACATTTGTGGTAATATATGTTGTTTGTATTTGAAAATTTATAAAAATAATATTTTAAATTTTTTTTTTATATTATTGTATTTCAAACAAAAAAAAAATTATTTTTTTTTTAATATAATCACGGAGACAAACAGAATCTAATTTTTCTAAATAGTATTAGTAGTCCTTCCGTGTCATTAATCATTATTAACATAGATATAAATTAAAAGTTTGTTTAATAATGTGGTTGGAGTTAATTTTTAATGTTAAATTATATGTTAATAATTTTTTTTATTTTTTAAAAATCAATTTTTAACCTTTACTCCTGCATTATGTTCTCTTTTAGTTTTTTCTTCGGGCAAGGAAACTCTACTGTCAGATATGAGCTGCATTTTTAATGGCTTATGTGTGGTGTGCTTGAATTTTTTTTTTTTTTGTTGCATGTATTTGTAGGGCATCTCTACGGACAGGATCTTAGATGTAAGAAAGCTTCTGGGGGTGCATGTCGAGACGTGCCATTTGACCAATTTCTCATTATCTCACGAGGTAACTTAACTGGTCCTTTTTGAACTAGTTTTAGGAACTATCAATGGGTCTCTTTTCCGCACTGGGAGCAACACGGTGTGTGTTCTGGGCGTGGTCCATTGTACTCGGTTTCCAGTTCATTCAAGAGCCTAACGCATGGGAGGTGGGGTTGATAGCTTGGGGGTATGGGACCGGTTTGATTTTTTATTTTCGGAATTACAAAAACAATAATCGTTTTTCCTTTAAGAAATCACTTTCAAAGTAGGAGACAGGTGTTTTTTGGGAATGTAGTTATAGTTTTTTTTTAAATAATTTTTATTTTTAAAAATATATTAATAATTTTTATTTTTTAATAATTAGTAATAATTTTTATTTAAAAAAATATATTAATGATTTTTTATTTTTTAATAATTAATTTTAAAATTATCACATCAAAATAATTTGAAAATATTTAAAACTTATACATCAAAATAATTTGAAAATATTAAAAACTTATTAATATAAAAATAAAAAAATAAAAATTATTTTTTAAACACAAAATAAAAACATACACTATTAGTAAGCTTGAATATCGGGGTTAGCGTGACTTTATAACATTTTACTGGCTTTGTTTTTATAGTTTTGAAAAAAAAAATCTTGAGAAAAACACAGAAAAAGAGAAGAAAATGTAAAAGAAATTAAAGCCCCCACCTTGGTATTTTTGAGTGAGGTGGTCATGTAATTGCTATTTAATTACATATTCAAAATTTAACGTTTGCATTCATTTAGAAATAGTTTCGTTTCGTGAATCCAATTTTATTGTGCATTTTCTGGACAAGAAAAAATCACTTATCGTCTTCTCTGTTGCTTTGCCAAGAACACAAATGACCTTGCCATCAAATTCATTTGTTTTTATATTTTAAAAATATTTCAAATAAATATTTTTAAATAAAAAATATTTTAACCCCATACGAACTTAACTCAAACGGCCGAATATTTGAGGATAAGCAGCCACATAAGAACTTCAGTCATCATTTATACAGTGTGCTAGTTTCATCATAAGATATCACCAGATTGGTATAGCCACTGCCTACCTGAACTGTTTAACTTAACGCCCAGCCAACTTGCAGCTTATCATAGTTAGAAACAAAGAGGGCAAAGAACAATGAACAAAGTACTTCGAACTGTCCCATTTTTCCTTTCTCAATCTGATAGGATGGCAACTCTTCCTTTCCTTTTTGTTTTTTGTTTTTGATAGGGTATCATTCATTTCTTTCTTTATGAATTTTGCGAGGATACTTTCCGTGAGAAAGAATGGGAAAGTCATAATTAGCCTTTTGTTTTGCTTATGAATTATACAATTAATTAATTGTTGTTGTTTCTATTAATATCACACCACCACAAATTCACTCATCTATACTTAGAATTAGAATTATATATTGTTTTAGAGATAAACGATATAGTTAATTAGAACAGTTGCATGACAACTAAATCTTAGTTATTTCTAAATATATGGTCACTACTCACTAGTGCTTTATTTTTCTCATGCACGCCTTCACAACGAAGGCTGCACCCCCGCATATATATATATAGGCTGCTAGCTCGATGCACACTGATCTAGACTTCCTTTTACTAACTAGTAACTAAATAAGTTGACACAACGTACAATGGTAGAATTCTTATATTTTAAAAATTTTACATCTTTAAATTAAAAGAAAAATATATGATTTTGAAGTTTAAATTACAGTCTGAAACTACGAAAAAAATCTGAGTTCTTATTCCTGAAAAAAACTTGTGAAACCAATTAATATTATTGTTCTTAATCTTTCTACTCATAAAATAATAATTATATAAAAACTTAAACTAACTCTTTCTAATCAACAAATTTAAATAGAAAAAATCTAAACAGAAAAAATTTGATTCCTGAAAAAATTAAAATTTTATAATTTAACCAGAAAATTCTAACGAGGAAAAAAAATAAAATTCAGATAGCTTCTACTTATTATGGTCAATTCTAATCCAATGGTTATATGATCGATTATGATTAATGATCAAATTTATACATAATTAATTTTAAAAAAAATTATTTGTACGTACATATTCAATTAATTAATTTATAATTAAATCTGTTAAATGTTCACGTCATAAGTATTAACGAGGTATTTAAAGGAAACATTCCTAAATATTCTAAGTCATTACTTTAACTTAATATATATTCAAGTACAACCACCTACATATAAAAAAATAACTAAAATGAAAAGTAAATTCATCATAGCCATACACATGTTTTTTTATTTACTACTGCAGTTAAATTATACTTTTACATTTCATCAAAAAAATCACTAGCTTTTATTTTTATTTAAGGATATTTTGATATAGTTTATTGATCATTTGATAATTTAATAGAGGTATTTATTTATTCTTTATAATTTTTAAACAGTTAAATTACTTGATTATCTTTAATTTTTTTAAAATAAAATGGTTGGCTAAAGATATTTTTATATTTTTTTTCTTTGTACAATAAAAAATAATTCCACTCAAGGAAAAGGAGAGATGAACAAGTGACCAAAGGGTACTTCAGCTTTTCAAATAGATTTTATGGTGAATCTTAGATGCAGGTGGTAATTTTTTTTTCCTCTTGAAATATTTTTTTATTTAATAAAATTGTTAAATTTTTTAATTTTTAATTTAACCCTTTGATCAAGGAATTTTTTATAACTTCTAATTTAATTTATTTTTTATTCTTACTTTTTTTGTTTTAACTGCTATATTTTATTTTAAATCCTTTTATTTAATTAGTTTTTTCTTCTAATTTTATTATTTGACATTTAATTTGATAAGGGTATGATATCTCAATTTTTTGATGTGTAATTTTTTTAGTATAATAACTTGTGTCATGAATTTTAAAGTTATCTATAGCATAGCTTTCAAACTCACCTAAAGGGTCATTCTAGAGCAAAATACATGTCATATGTTAAGTGAGTTGATCCATGTCAGGTTATTTGACTCAGGTTAACCCTTTCTTATAAGCATATAAAAATGACATCATTTAAAAAAAATATCAAAAAAAATTTAATAGGTTTATTCAAAGCTAATTAGGTTGCAAGTCGGTCCTATTTTTTAGCTAGATTAGACCAAGTCCATCCTCCTTTATTTTGTTGAAACTAGCCTGGTTTAGGCCTCGAATCACTTTAATTATAGGTCAAATTGTTGAGTTGAGTCAAGTTGGGTTTTAAATAGGTC